ATTTAAAAGCCGGGTAGACGTGGTGCTTAGGGCCATGGTTTAGTGGTGGGCTTGGCAGTGCTGGGTTAACGGTTGGACTCGATGATCTTAAGGGTCTTTTCCAACCTTAACAATTCTGTGATTCTACAACGGCAAGTGTACGAGCGGTCTCTAACATGCGCTGCGCGGCTGAGTCCTACAGCACCCAGCCACGGGCTTTCTGTCTAAGGCCAGGCCACCTGCCCTGGCAGGGAGCCGTCCTCTGCAGGCAACGACCTCTTCCACACGTCCACCTTGCGTGTAGCGTTACCTGTCAGCAACTCTTCTGGGCACAAACAACAGGATTTTGGCGCCTCCCTCCACTTTCCTTAATAAAGGAAGCACCGAGCCTGGAATAGAGCGTATCCTTCTCTTTATTACAACATAGAATAAATACATTCGTGCAGTACACTCCTCGGAGCAGTGTTCAACAGCTGTTAAGGGAGGACCCCTAAAACATGGTCCAGGCTTCGCTCTAGAGGCGCGCGCTGTCCCGAGCAGTTTCCAGTCTCCTGCAGTTCCCACACGCTCCCATCTCTGCTGCCGTTCCTCTCCGTTCCCCTACACGGCGAGGGGAAGGAACGGGGAAAAGCAGCAGATCAAGCGGCAAGGGTCATCCCAAAAGCCAGGCAAAGGGATGCTCCTGCCAAAAGCAGCTCCTGAACACACGACAGAGAAGTTGCAAACGGAGCTAAAGAGGAAAAAACCAACCCCAATTTTGAGTACTTTAATGACCCAGCCTGGTAGCAAGGCTTCTTCGATTGCTTCTAGAGGACCTCAGCTGAAAGACTTTCAGCTAAAGATTTGTTTTCCAGACAAAGGTAAGAACCAAGTGACATCAGGAAGGATCCTGCCTAGGAGTTGTGTCAGCATAGTTCCAGGGTTTCTCATCTCGTCCAGCTGGCAGGAGGAAAAACCCACTTGTCTGAACTGAGGAAACTAGTTTTATGGAAAGAAAATGTAGGCTTGAATATTGACGCTAAATGTTATAATCAAAATGGCATTTAAATGCTTGTGCAAATAAAACCCTGCAATAAGAGTAAAACCACAAACTTTAATAAAATAGTCTGGCTTTATTGAAAAAAAATTTACAAGTGTATTTCTTTAAACCTCAAACATACACAGCTGAGTTATTCACATCTTCCATTAGATGTGGCTTATTGGTTCAGCCTCCCTCAGCAAAGTGCCACATGACTAACGAGTTTCCCCCTCCACAAAAATGTATCTACCATTTTACAAAGCTCTCGTGCAGACTTTTTCTTCTTTTTCCCCCCTTTAACACCTAAACACAGCTGGTTTGACACAGAAAAGTGACTGCAGCTTAGCCGTTGTGCAGATGGCAGCAATTTTACCCCACCTTTGCTGGCCTGATTTGCTTCTCGCTCCGTTCGGTGCCCCTCGATCACAGGCTGATGTGCGCCGGCTAACTGGGGTGCCAGAAAAGACCACTGAAAGCATCCTGTAAGGCTCGGTGACAAGCAAGAGAAGAAGTGTAGCCCCCAGCAAGATCCTGCGGCGAGGCAGCTCGTACGTGGTTGAGATACCTAAAACAAAGAGAAGCCTGATTTTAGAGCAGAAATAAACACATCAAACACCTGCGTAGCTCACAGTGCAGTGAGGCCGAGGCTGCTTTTTGGGAGAAAGCAAGGAGACGCAAGCTGCCTGCTGCTAGCCACCTACGAACGTATCAGTATAAAAACTTCAGTTAGTTACAACCCTGCCGAAGCGCCTTCAGACGAGCTGCCCGACCAGCGCGCTGAAAAACCTTGCATCTTTGCGATAGGCGGCACAGGGTTAAGCACGCTCCCTGGCTGGCATATTCTGTGCTCGCTCTGGGGGGGAAAGGTTGCGTTTCCCCCCTTCGGTAGTCCCTTCTGAGACGATGAGGACAACACAAGCCTTCCTGCGCTCCCACGGGAAGCACAGGAGGGTTTCAGCTCTGCCCAGTTAAAGCTGGGCGCTCCCGAGAGCCGGCCGTGCCGGTTGCTCTGATGACAACAGGGCTGAGCTTTCCGCTCTTGGGCCTATCTGTATCTGGAATAAGCCCGCTGACACCAGGGAATTGATCCGCAGGAGCCGTCATCAACATTTGGGCTAAAGAAGCCTCTGAACTCCACCGTTAATCATCATCATCACCCGTTTGCAGAGCCACCTAATTGCACGCCGCGCCAGCCAGGGCGATGAGTTGACGTTGAGCCACGCTACCTGCGCTGGCGCCGCCGCCAGCCCTTGGCCGCTCCCAAGGGCTCAAACCCAGCCGCGCGCGCCAAGAGCTCCCGTGAAAGGTGTCTGCTCGGCGGGGCTTGGATGCCTTCATCCCACGCCGTAACCCTGTAGCTCTCGCACCCCCCATAAGACAAATATAAGATAAAATACCATAAATGAGAACGGCTTTTCCCTGCAAGCCCCTGAGCTTCAGCTAGCTGTTTTGATTCCTCGCTTGGTACATGTTGCTCCTGGGAAGGTTGAGTCATTCCACCTCTGGCTTGGCAATTCAAGCATAAACTTGCAAAACGCACACAGCCTTTTATAATGTTATCCTGAGAAACCTAAACCAGCTGCACTTTTGGCAGGAAAATACAGGACCACCAGTAAAATATCCAAAACAGTTGCATCTTTTAATTTATGACTGTACACTGTTTCCATAAAGAGTATATAAAACCAGTCAGATTTTATAGGTAAGACATAATAAACAGTCATACCCATTGATGCCATAAATGTGTAGAAAAAGAAGTTACTTAGAAATTATTAATTACAGTTTTAAAACTGTATTTCTTGCACCTAATAACCACAGCGCACAGACACGAGCAACATTTCTGAGTGATTGTTGGTGAGATGCTGGAGTCAGGAGACTGAATTTGCCTCCTGTGGCCGGGCTGCAGTAAGCGCTGCCGCTTCGCAACAGCTTGCGATGGAGTCCGGTCCCTGCCGGACACCGGCTCTCATCAGCACGGGCACAGACATTAGGGCACAAAAGCTTTTAATAGTCCTTAGTCCAAAGGGAATCTACAAACAGAGCGGCAGAGCCGGTCCCGGCTCTTAATTTGGAAGGGAAGATGGTCTGCAGAGAGCTCCTGTGTTGTGGGAGAATGCATGTAATAGAATTTTTTTTTTTTTTTAATATTCTTGTTACTTATCCCTTAATATTTTAGTAAGAAAATCTCATCCTTCCCAAAGGCCTGTCGCAGCTTCTGTGGGAGAGAGGAGCTCCTTCCCCCAGCCAGGAACGATGAAGGGATACCGGCACCGACAAATAATTTCCTTCAAAACGCTGGTGGGACACCACCTCCAGCCTCCAAAGCGAAGAGTCTTATAAAAATCAGTTCCCATCTCATATTTTACTTCTGCGATGTTTATTTCATTGCACAAACTTAATTTTCCACTCATGCATGGAACAGTCTGGAGAAAACGGGATTATTTTACATTTCTGTATTAACAAAGGTTAATTGTGTGTTTTTCATTACTTTCATTACATTTCTTATATCACTGAAGGAGAGAGGAAGAGTCTATTGTTTCCCTTTTTTTAGGTCACCTGAAATTGGGGCATTAGTTTCACTAGAAGGCCTGATTTACAGCTATTACAGCATTTATAGTTAATTGGTATGTGATCTCTGAAGCAGTACGAAATCATTGCCAAAAAGGCTCGGATCAACTTTTACTACGGCAACCTGCATTAATTCTCCTTACTCCTGTGAAACAAGCACGACAGGCCGCTGGATGTCAAGCGAGGTCTTTATTTTCTCGTTAAGTATCTAAACTTACTGTTCTTGACCCATTTAATTACTGTGGTACACCAGGCAATTGCAAAGAATCTGCCATGCTGAAGCCACACGACGAGAAGCAAATGTTTCACCGGCTTTTCCGCACTGATCCCCGTCTGTGCCGCCCGAATCCGGCCGTGTCCTTCGCGGGAGTCGCTCTCTGAACTGGATTCCTGGGGTTTCTGGCAGAGGTCAGTACATCTTTTCATGTACACCTTCACAACAGCAGCAGGAAGAAGCGCTTGCCAAGTCTTATTTCCAAAAAGTCAAGCTCCGTTAGGTCTTGGGACCTGGAGGTAATTGCTCTCACTAGTTAGCAAATTCCAGCACACTAGGTCTGTTTTTCATAGGTTTATTTTAAGTACCTGTAAATCTTATAAGCAGAAACCAGGAAAAAGAGGTTTGCTTTTTCTGGTGCACGGTTTTTAATGTAACTTGTTTTTACTGAGGGCAGACTAAACTCTGAAGTTAAAAAAAGCCTGCACTATTATTTTTGCGCGGGGCTGAAGGGCTGTGTGTTCTCTGCCCCACGGTTTCACGCTTCCCGTTCCCCGTAATGCCTACGCTCCGCTTCAGGCTCTGCCCAAGCAAGCCCCCTTCCCTTCGCCGCAGCCATTGGATGTTGATCTTCCCCATTAACCTTTCACGTCAGTTAAAACACATCGTATTTTGTCCTTCATGAGCCTTCAAGGGGCTCATTCCTGGCCTTTAGTTTCTCATCACCACGTGAAAAAAACAAAAAAAAAAGCGCCTCCTGTTTTCAAGGAAAGAGGTGTAATTCACACTTGGTGCAGAGGCTGAGAATCAAGCTGGTCATTCCTGGGGGTGGGTTTCCTTCGTGCTTTCTCTTTTCCGAAGGCCGTGTTACCATCACTTCATCAGGAACGACTGGGACTGCCGGAGAACCCCGCAGCGGCGTTCAGCGCGGCAGCGGGCGCGATCCCCCGCGCCTTTCCACCCGCTGCCCAGGCGGCCTCAGCACCACGCGGCATCGCCGCTCCTAAGAGCCAGGGGACCCAGCACCAGCTCGACAGACGGTAACACCCGAGACCACCGGCAAACGTCCCCTCGCTGCTCAGCCGGGCAGGCTCGTCTCAGAGAAACGCAGGAAAGACTTCAGAAACAATCAGAGAATGGAGAAACGGCACAACCAAATCAGGGGGAGGAGGGGGAAACACCAAAAACCCCCAAACAAAACCCCAAACATCCAACCAACGAGCCAAAAAAACCCACAGTACTTCTCCCACCCAACTGAAAGTATCAGTGCTTATTTCATACAATCTTCCCCCGTCTACCCAAGATAAATGTACTCCCACTGGTGTTTCTGCAGATGCATCACTGGAGGTACATGTGGAATACTGTGTATTTGGCATACAGATTTTACTTTTTTGATCTATTAGGTATTTTACGAGGGTGAAGAAAAGAAAAATCACTCACAAGTTGCTTGACAGAGAGAGAGAAAAAAAAAGATAATGTAATTCTATTCCCTAGAATAGACTTACTGCTCATCTGATTATCCGTAGTATCCAAGACAGAAAGTAATGGGGCAGACATTAGATCCGGGAAATTTTCCAGATGCATCATTTAAATAATAAATAGTGGCTGCATGAAAGCAAGCAAAATACTCCAGTCTGGAAAACTGTGTAAAGCATTAGTAACACAGTAGCATACGCTGCATTCCTGAACCTTTCTGGAGACAATATTTTCATTAGATTTACCAAGTCTCTAAGATGAGCTATTGATGCATTATTCAGAGTATCCTTGCAGAGACTGGGTCTTATCGGATGAGACATGCACATAAGAAACTGGATTTTCTCTGGCCTGTTTTTGATTGAGGAATGTGTGGCCTGGGTTACTCTACAGCCCCTGAGCAGGTAAAAACTGAGCTCCTCCAAGCAACTCTATTTTTGTTTGAACCAGTTCTACCACACAGTCGGTCCATGCAGCCAAAGCAGAATTTGCTTATAAAATGAGCTGATTTCATTGCTGTTCTTCATTAAATAGCCCTGGGAAATTAATTTGGGAACAGGCCTTCGCTAGGTGTTATTCAAATAATCTTGTGGCTCCCCCTGTCTCGGAGATTGTAATGTCTAAGGTAGGACAAAAACACAATGCATAAAGCTGGTACTCAAAGAAGTCCAAAATAGCAATGCATCCTTCCCCAGACTAGCTACAAGCCTGATCCCAGGTCCTCAAAAGTCAAAAAGCAGTCTTTCATCTATTTTAGCAGACACTCTTTGGGCACCATCATTGTATTTAGATCTTAACAAATAAACCAACTATTGCCGGTGTCAGAAATTTCTGGTGAACACCAGCCAGCACAGCCTGTTCCAACATACAGTGCAACTTCTACACAACCATGAACTCAGCAAAGGCTCCTCAGGAGCCCAACTCAGTACCTCCTGCAGCCTTTGCACCACGGCCGAGGTCAGGCTTCCAGCCCTGATGGCAGCAAGGCACCTACCGCCAGCCGCTCTCCTCCTCCGCCCTCCAGGACAACAAGGACTAAATGGGAGAAATCTCTTTAACAGCTGAATGGGGAAAATTGTTCCCCAGAAAGGAATAGGTTCATGGCTGCCTCAAGGAACGAGAAGGTCATTTGGTTGATAAATACAGCGCAACAGTTTTAATTACTTTAATTTGAATGTGACCAGGAAGTGAAAAAAAAAAAAAAATGGACAACTGACCATAGAATCATAGAACACCAGGTTGGAAGGGACCTCAAGGATCACCTGGTCCAACCTTTCCAGGCAAGAGCACAGTCACAATCAAATGACTGCGGC